GATATACAACTATGTACCAGGGGGGATTTGGGGAGATAAAGCAGAAAAAAAATAAAATAAAATAAATGAATAAATAAATAAATGAAAGAAAAAGAATTTTGAGGAGGATGTTCACAGTGGGTAGAAGATGACGAAAACAAAGCTCTTTCCCAACACCAAGGTCTTGTGCTTTAAAAAAACAAAAGTGGAAATGAGAAAGGTCAGATAACATTTTTCATAATGAGGCAATTAATCTAACAACTATTCTTACAAAATATATTGAAGCAATGGATGCAAGTGCCTCCTAATGAGAAGGGTACAGCGTCACTTCTGTGGCATCTCTTCCGAAACTGCATAACCCGAACCTAATCATCAGGAAATAATACAAGCCCCAACTGAGAGACATTCTATAAAATAATGGGCCTATAATTTCCAAAAATGTCAAGGTCAAAAAGCAAAATAAACACAGTACTGAGGAAATGTTCCAGTTTAAAGAGACTAAAGAGACTTGACAACTAAATGCAAATTGTGATCCTGAAAACAGCTATAAAGGACATTACAGGAACAGTGAGTGAAATCTGTATATGGACTACCAATTAGATAATAAAATTATATAAATGTTAAATTTCTTGATATTGGTTATTGCACTGTGGTTATGTAAAGGAATGTCCTTGTTTTTTAGGAAATAAATTCTGAGGTATTTAAGGGTGAAAGGTGTTAAATTAATTCAACAAGGAGGCCATTAGACTGATGTGGTTCTAACCCCTTTGCAGCCTAAGCAAAGCAAAACCTAAGTCTTTTAAGTCCTGAAGGTGAAGAAACCAAAACCTAAGGACAACCAGTCGCAAACAGCCAACGAAGCTTTCGCAAACGAGGCAAATGCGTAAGCTACAGCCAAGCACATAATGTCCTTGCTTTGGTTCGCTCTTCTCTGTGAAAGTCTTGCCCCTGGCTCCTTTCAAGGGAGAGCTCCTCCACTTCCAGTTTGACACTGTCCAATTCAAATCGACTTCTGCTCAAATAAACTCTTAAAAGTTTTACTATGCCTCAGTTTATCTTTTAGCAAGGGGCATGATGTGTGCAACTTACTCTTAAGTGGTTTGGAAAAAAAGAGAGAGAATAATAGAGCAAATGGGGCAAAATATAAGCAATCGATGAACATGGATGGGGCGTAGGGGAGTTCCTTGGACATATGTGTGTTCCGTGTACAGAAACTTACATCATTTCCATAGGTTTAAAATTTTCTCTAAATAATAAAGTTATAAAAATATGAAACAATTCAGAGAATTTGCTCACTTCTGTAAAGTATTGAGGATAAAAGAGAACTGAAAATTTTAAATGTTAAAACCATTCTGACTACCAAGTTTTGGGGTCTCCATCCAACTGCTCTTCTTCGGTTAACAAGGACTTCCGGCAGTAAAATACCTCCATTAAATTGACCGAGGTCGGAAGGAGTTCAACAAGATCCAAACAGGAAATACTAAGAGCCGTTTCCAAAGCTGGAGGCCAGTAGCAAAGATACGATTCCCCCGAGGCGAGGTCCTCTGGTGACTGCTTCAACCCATGCTCTGAAAGCAGCTTTATAAAATGAGTCTAGGATTTATTCTAGAAAATTGGCAAAACTTTTTCTTAAACACCTGTTTATTTAAAAATTAATAAAAATTAACTTTCCCTTTGTTGAACATCCTATGAGTTGCTGGTGTCCAAATATCTGAGAAGACTGTAAAGAAAGCCCAAAGGTTTTAAGCACCTGCTAAGTATCAGTGGCGTTAGGAGACCTGGGACACTGAGGAACAGAGAAGTAAAACACCTCGCCCAAGGTCAAACACTGAGGAAGTGATAGAACTAGGAATTGAACTGAGGTGTCTTTCTCCAGAGCACATGTCAGGTTCACTAATCGATCTGCTCCCTAAACAGTATAATTCATGGATTCCCTCTGTGCTATAGAGTATCTCGGTTTCATTGTCAACACATCCCTGAAAGAGTGGTGTCATCCTCTCCACTTTTCCATAGGAAGAAAACAATATTGAGAATTAACATAACTTGTTGAAATTCACAAAAGGTGGGAAGTCGTGAAGGAAAATACCAACACAATTCCGTGTAATTTCAAAATCCATATCCCTTTTACCCATCAAGACAATGCAATTAGATTGCATTTTGAAGAAATGGGTATCATCAAGAAAATGATAACTGAGGGAACATCAAGCTCTAACTTAACTAATATTAAGCTATCACTTGGGAACCTTAAAAAATTAGCCCTAAAGGCAAAAGATGGGTTTTTTTTTTTTTTACTGACTGTAAACATTGTCAGAAAACTTTTTCTTTTATTTTAATTCAAAAACGTTCACACACACCAATCCTCTGGCCTTTCCCTACCCCAGTTTATTGCTGGTGTTCTCTCTCTTCTCTCCTTCCCTTCCTTCCTCTCTCTTTCTGTCTTTTCTCTCTGTCTCCATCTCTGTCTCTAACTCTTTGTCTCTGCCTTCCTCCCTTCTTTCCCTTTCTTCCTCTCTCTCCTTCGGCTTTAAATTACAAGGGCGTTGTTTAAAGAGGTTACAAAGTTTCCTGCTGCCCCCTAATGGTCTTATCCTGGAAGCGGCAGTCACATTAGGAAAATTAGTAAAACCCTTACAGACAACAATAATAAAAGACACTTATACTCCTTTAGAGTTTGTGGAGACAGCGGAGCCACAGGGGTGAAAGGAAAGTGCCTGTGATCACTCACAAGTTATTTAACCTCACGGGGCCTCCACAAACGCACCCATAAAGTGAGATTAAAATATCTCCTTCTGGAAGTTGTCGTGTGGCTTGAGATAACATAATAAGGGTCTTAATAAAAGGTAATTATTGTTACCTTCCTACTTTTGGCAACTTTATAGGGTTGAGGACACTGAGGATCGGCACAGCTTGCTCTTTTTTTTTTAAGTTAACTCAGCCAGCAAGCTATAGAACTGGACCCATAATCCAAGTTTTCAGACTCTAATTCTAGTTCTCTTCATGACAACTCAATATCCCAAATTAACGGCTGATAATGAGGAATCTTAAGAATTTTAAAAGTCTTCAAGGGGTATTTTCATATACTACTCATGTTTTCCATTAAGACCAAAAAATACGCATTTCATTGATCAGTGGTCACATCTCTAGAATCATGTCTTAAACTTACGAGAAGAGAAGCATGCAAAGATTTAAGTCCAAAACACGTTCACAAATCACTACGTATAATAGTACGAAGTTGAAAACAAACTAAACATAAGACATTGATTCAATAAACTTTGGTACAAATAATGGTAATTGTTTTCATTTATTGAACAGTTTCTCAGTGCCCAGTGCTATTTTAAGCATATGAATGTATCAAGGCATTAATGAGGAAGGCACTACCATTATCTCCACTTAACACATGAGGAAACTGAAGAACAGAGAGGTTAAGTACCTTACCCAAGGTTAAACATCAAGGAAGTGATAAAGCTAGGAATTAAACTGAGGTGTCTTTCTCAAGAATGCAAGATTCACTAATCAATCTGTTTCTGAGACAGTATAGTCCATGTATTCACCCCAAATTTCATTGCTGATAGCACTTGTGGTAAAATATTGTGCAACCATAAAAAAATGGTTTTTCAATAAGTACTAAATTGTATTGGGACACGTTTACAGGAAAACATTAAGGAGAAAACAGTATGGCACAAGTCCATGGCCTAGTGGTTAAGTTCAGCACATTCCACTTCGGCAGCCCGGGTTCACAGGTTTGGATCCAGGCATGGACCTACACCACTCATCAGCCATGCTGTGACGGTAACCCACATATAAAGTTAGGGAAGATTGGCACAGATGCTAGCTCAGGGCAAATCTTCCTCAGCAAAAAATGAGGAAGATTGGCAAGAAATGTTAGCTTAGGGCTAATCTTCCTCAGCAAAAAAAAAAAAAGTATGAAAAATTGTATACTATATTATTTCAGTCCTGGAATGTGTGTGTGTGTGTGTGTGTAGAAAACCAAAATTTAGAGCCAGTCCTAATGGTCTAGCAGTCACATTCCAGCAGGTTCTGCTTCAGGGGCCCGGGTTTAGTCCCTGGGTGGTAGAACCACACTAGTCATCCATCAGTAGCCATGCTGCGGCGGTGGCTCACACAGAAGAACAAGAAGGACTTACAACTAAAACACAACTATGTATGTGGCTTTGGGGAGGAAACAAAGGAAGAAGACTGGCAACAGATATTAGCTCAGAGCAAATCTTTCCCAGAAAAAAAAAATCTACATCTAATGAGTACTTTTCTCCAGGTGACGGATTATGGGTAATTTTGTTTCCTCCTTTGCACATTTCTAGATTTCTGAACTTTTATAATGAGACACAACTGCAGCGATGATCAGAAAATCTAGATTAAAAAATATTTAGGGTGCTGAAAAAAAAATACCAGAATTTCCAAGAACAGGATTTAGTTTCCCTTCATAGTTAAATAATAAATCAGGAAGTCTAAATGGGAAAGATTTGCAAGAAAAACAATTATTCCAAGAATTGGAAATGGAGGATGTTCAGACTAGAAAGGGAACTGCCTAAGAGAGAATGTTGAAGAGAACCCCTGCACTGGATTAATTTAGCGTGCTGGAACCTACTTTTGATTGATGTCAGCTGTCTAGAAGCTATCTTGAAAAAGTAGTCAATGAATCTAATTCATAATAGACTGAATAATGTGGATAGAGGATCTGAAGCCCTCAGAAGAGAAAACAGTAAAGAGCTATGACCCCGACAGGTATAATTTTTGGATTGGAGAGTTTCAAAGCACCATGGAAAAGCAGCAGAGAGAGCCTTCTCTTTGACAGTAACGCTAAAAGGTGTGCTGCTTCATGACAACCCATGCTGGGCAGGGCCTGTCAGCAGCATCAGATAAGTCAGACATAGGCCCAACTGGAGGGAGCATCTTTCCCGTGACCTGCATGAGGCAATCATATCACTTGCAATGGAAGCCTGCAGTTCAAGATAATGCCACTTGGCCTTAAACACTGTACAGCGCATGCCTTCTTCTGCCTTCCTGACAAAGTGAAGGCTGGGCTGCTGAGCCTGACCTTCAACAGACCTTTGGAGTTCTTCCACATACAGACTAGAGAGGGGATTTTTTTTTTATTGGAAACTAACTCAAGTTCACTTTAGAACCTCTTATTTGGTGTATACGTCTGGCTATTTCACAGAGCTTTCAGTTTTGCAAATAAGTTGGAGTTGATTTCTTCGCTCGGAAAAAGTGCCGGTTGGTGGTGGTCCACAGGAGTCTTAAGATAGACATAAACAAGGGAAGTTTTTGCTGAGACTCACCCAAAGAAAACCCCAAAGGAGAAATCTGAGAACTTCATTTCAGGATGAAGCTGCAAGAGCGAAGAAGTACTTTTAACACAAGCAAAGGCTGTCCATTGACCAACAGATGCAGGAGGATTCTTCTCCCAACTTCTGCGGCCCCTGCCATGGGAATCTGGCTCCTTAGAGGGCAGCTTCTCCTGCTGCTGTTGTCTGGCCTGCAGAGACCCACGGGGAGTTCTGAGGTAGGGTGCAACCGAGGAGGTGTCTCTTTATGGTCAGTGCTTCAATCAAGCATTCTGCTGGTGACAACCTTTAAATGACCTTCAGTCACTTGGGATCTAATTTCATTCAGGCATTTTAACAAATAGTGCTAGTGAAGAGTGTTGAAAACAACTATTAAAACTTGTGGAATTCTTTAAGTCTACAAATTTGGTATTATGGGAGCTAGACTTATGGCATTATTTTCTTGATTTTCCGTAAAACTTAAGTAAAACATTACCTCTGTAGGACAAATAATGCAAAATAATTGAGGTCTATTTGGCTTTAGACAGTACCATATGGATCGACTCTAAAGAAGTATTGTAACCGAAAGTTCTATATAATGAAAAATAACCTAATGTTAAGAGATTGAGTACAGATTTGAGATCTAGTAACATAGTAAAGTTTTAGAGTTTTCTATATTTGACAGACATAATGTTATTGATTTTGTTTTGTTTTCGCTTAAATAGATTCTGTAGACCTATTCATAAACCTGCTGTAAAGAGTTATTGGTTAAAATCATTTAAGCAGTCTTAAAAAATCGTTCCAGTTGGCACATAACTGGATGACTTCTCATCCTAAATAAGATGGTAAAAAATATCAAATGGTATGTTTTTGAGTTCCAGCTGCAACGCCCTTGACGTGGACTGGATAGAATGTTATCTCTTAAAATATCTTTCAATGAATATTGTTTGTTAGAAAAGCATCATTTCTTTGCCAAGAAGGAAATATCTTGGAATTTAGAAAACTGAAAATATGGCTCTACATGATAGACTGACAATACTTAATGAACTTGTATTCAAACGTCTAACTTCAGTTTGACACCCACTAGACATCAATAAGTAATATTCAATTGGCTACCCGTGAGAAAATATTTTTTTTCCAACTCTTGGTTACTAAGAGGAAGGACTTTCCTAGGCATACTCCTGACCACTGTCCAATCCTTTTCCTCACACAGCTCCCCTGGAGGCGGGCAAATTTACTTGGTGGTAACATCAGGAAGAATAAGCTGACTCTTCTTTCTCCTGGGAGTTAGCCTGATGGCAAAGGGCATGAGTTCTGCATTCCTCCATGGCAAAGATCTTACCTGGGGAGGCCACAATCCAATAGTGCCTGCAGCTGAGCAGACAAGGCTGCCTCGTTCTGGGGTTTACTCTTAACAAGCCCACTTACCATCAGACCTAAAGATGTGTGCTCCAACATGGCCTCGTTCAGTAGTAAAAATGATATTTTAGCCTTCATATTTGCTCTTTTTTTTTCTAATTGTTTTCAAAACCTGGGCAGAAGAGAGGGTTGTTATTTACTGGGCACCCTCTTGGAGAACCCAACATTACTCATCACTTAAGTCTTTTCTTAAATAAAGTTCAAAGACTTAATACAGGGTTTAGGTATCCATAAAAGAGATATTCCTTAAAACACCCGTGAGAGAATGTGAAGGGGGTCAGTAGAGGAAACAGAAAGTATAATTAAATTTTAAGGTTATTAATTTTTTTCTTCAAAGTACCAATATGCAAAAATACAGTTTTCAGTGATACAAAAAGGGTCACTTCCTCCCTGGGGAGATGAGTTTTTTGAACATTCAGTGATATTTACCTAATTGAATTCAATCTCTAACACAGGTCACTGACGCAGAAAGGACTACAGCAGTGTAATGACTATGACTGAACCTTACTTCAGCAAATATTGGTTTCGAGGAAAAGACTTGGCCTTATAGAATATAGCAAATCTGCCACCACATTCACCATCTGATCTGAAAAATTAAAATCAAAATTTTTCTTTGCTTACAGGTTGCAATTAAAATCGACTTTGATTTGGCACCAGGTTCCTTTGATGATCAGTACCAAGGCTGCAGCCAAGAGGTCATGGAGGCACTAAATCAAGGAGATTATTTCACAAAAGAACTAAAAGCCAGTAGGAATTATTTCAATGTCTGGCAGAAAGCCCACTTAACCTTGCTGAATCAAGAAAAAGCTCTCCCCAAGAACATGAATATCACACACGCTGTGGCTGTTTTGCTTTATTCATCAAACGACAACATTCGCTCGGACTTTGCTAGAGCCATGGCCAGTGCTGCTATGTCTCCAGAGCAGTATGAACATTCATTCTGTTTCAAATATCTACACTACTACCTGACCACTGCAATCCAGCTGCTGAGGGAAGACATTGTCAGGAAGAATGACTCTCTGTGTTATGAGGTGCATCATGAGGTGAAGAATGTCTCCTGGAAAGCCTACACAGGCGCCATTATTCGATTTGGCCAATTCCTCTCCACCTCCCTTCTAAGAGAAGAGGCACAGAAGTTTGGGAACGAAACTCTGTTTACCATATTTACCTGCCTGGGTGCACCTCTACAAGACTTCTCTCTCAAGAAGGTCCTGGTCCCTCCCTATGAGTTGTTTAAAGTTGTAAATATGAGCTACCACCCAAGAGGAAATTGGTTGCAGTTGCGGTCAACTGGGAACCAGAGCACATATAACTGTCAGCTACTAAAAGGTATTATTATTGATCTAAGCTGAATCCGCTCTTATCAGGATCACAGAGCACTATTCTTTTATAAAAGCTATTTTTCTGACTGGGCTTGGTGGAAAAAGGCCAAAAACAAGAAAATTGGCTTTTAGTAATGGTAGAACTGAAAGAGTAGAGAAAAGTTGCCTTATTTCTCTATTTCCCCTCTCTTCTTTCTCCTCAACTATCTCTAGGAAAATGTGTTTCTGCAACGGCACTAATGTGTGGGGCATTCTAGACAGAGAGCGCAAACCTCTACTGAAAAAGATAGCGCATGAAATCTAGCATTTTTACCTTCTCCCTCAACGTTTTTCTTTTGTCATGGTCATTTCATGAAGAAGGAGTGCTAAAAGTAGAGGAGGAGGCAAGACTTATTTATGCATGTTTATCTATTAACCTTCTTCTATAATCCAGGAACTAGGACAGAGGCCCCGTGTGATATAAAACAAATAAAGCAAAATAACTATCCTGGGAGGATCTTTAGTCTAATGAGAAATGGAAATATGAACAGGTGTTTATACACAAAAGTACTAGGTAATACACCAGATATTTAGGCAATATGGCTGCCCAGTGCAGGAAGCTACTCATTCTCTTTGGGGAAAGTGGGGAAGGCTTTACAACAGAGGATCACATGGGACTTGAAGTAGGAATGGGGGTTTTCAGTGAAAGAAGAGAGGAAAAGTTACGCCAAGCAGAAAACAGTATATGCTGGATCACAGAGATTTCAAACAGCCTGGGATTTTCAGGGGATCTCCATCAGTACGGATGGCTGGAATGTAGGATGTGTAAGACTAGGAAGAGCTAGGAGTTAAAAGAGAGGAGGAGATTGACTGGGCCAGGAGAGTTCTGATGGGGCCAAACTGTAAAATCTCCTATATTCCAAGCTAAGGACTTTTGAACTTCATGCTGTAGGTAAGGAGAAGTCATTAGAAGTTTTTAAGCAATGGAGCATCAATTAGATCAGTACTTTAGTGAGAGCTCTGATGATATTGTGAAAAATGAACTGAAGTGGAAGCAATTAGAGATATCACAATACAAAATAAAAATTGTTAAGCTCTTTTTTTAGAAAAACATGTGGCTGGGGTCAGCCCCGGTGGCCTAGTGGTTAAGTTTGGCATGCTCCACTTCAGCAGGCTGGGTTCAGTTCCTGGGCGGGACATACACCACTCATCAGTGGCCGTGCTATGGCCGTGGCTCACATACAAAAAAAAGGAAGATTGGCAACAGACGTTAGCCATTTCCAGAATAATACTAACAGATGTTAGCTCGAGGTGACTCTTCCTCAGCAAACAAGAGGAAGATTGGCAACAGATGTTAGCTCAAGGCAAATCTTCTTAAGAGGAACAAAAGAGTGTGACTGATTCCATTTCATCCTGATTGTTGGCAGCCACAGTCGTTTCACAGAGCAGTGGTTCTGTAGCAAATACTGTGTCCTGTTTGATTCAGAAGGAAAAAGATGGTCCTTATCCACACGTGCATTCGTCCATACTCACAGTTACCTGCAACTCAGCTGCAGTGTCTACCTTTGAAATACCTCTGACGCTTTCTCTACTCTGTCATTATTGGTGCTGTTCATAATTCAGGCTGTCTGCAATTCTCAAACATTTCAGGGTCGTATTGTTGCAAAGGTCCTCAAACTGGCATCCACACTGAGTTCTAGGGCCTGCTCCCTCTGCCATATCTGCAAACACAGGCCTGGGGAGAGGCGACTATCAACACCTTTATCTCCTCCTTCCTCTCCTCAGCAGCCAGGCAGGCAGCAATGTGAGCAAAACGAGTGTCTGCTCCACAGACCCAAGAGATTAGTGTTTGCGGAGGAGAATGAAAGACCAGAGTAGAATATGAAGAAAACTAAGAATTTGATAACAAGTGAGAACATTCACAGCTAGGTTCCAGGATTCTTTGGAACCAAGACTGACTGGGACACTGTTGCTTCATTCTCCTCATGAAGTTGAGATGGACAATTTTTCTACTAGATTAATGAACCCTGTAAAATCTGTTAGGTGAAAAGTTGTAAAACATTTATGTCAAGGAGTAGGAAAGTGAGGGAGAGGAGTATATGACAGAAACTCTTATCCACATTCTGCCACTCTATACATCTCAAAGAAAAATATCTCAAGACCCTCCCCGCAAAACTAAAGATCTTTGGTTTCCTGTGGCAAAACTACTAAACTGCAGCTTTAACTGGGTTTTGAGTTAAGGCTTAGCTGGGGTAGCCATGCATATTACATTGTGTTGCTCTGTAAGCCGTTTGTGGGCAGGACCATGACTACATAGTATTTAAGAGCTTGGCATGGAATCCAGACAGTTTGACTCCAGATCCACTCTGTCTGGTTTCATATCCAACTCGTACCACTTTTTAGCTGTGTACTCAGTCAAGTTGCTTAAACTCTAAGTTTCTTTATCTATATAGTAAGCATCAGAATAGAGACTCACAGGGCTCTTGTGAAGATAAAATGAAATAAAATAAAATAATAAGTTATTTCTACATTCCCTAGCATTTAACAAATGGTAAATAAGTGTTAATTATTATTAACTTTAGTCCCCTGGCACATAGAGATGCTCAACCTGTATTTACTGAATAAGTGCATGAATAAATGAAGCATTCTCTTTCACATCTCTTGAGTGATCTGGCCTTGGGTCAGGTGACCATATAACTCATTTGACTAAAAGCAGTTCCAATATCTGCTAGAAAGAAAAAATATGCTAGAAGGTTCAACCCCTAGTCAAGAGCAAGGAGCTGCAGCCACAACGTAAATGCCCTGGAATATGGTCACTTTCAATGTGAATTACTATATCTAAATTTTTCCTAGAAATTCACCAATTAGCAGCTTGGTTGGCTTTGGGAAAAGGGATTGTAAATGGCAGAATAAAAATACCACTGCTCTCAGAGGGTGGCATTTTGGTCAGAGACATTGATGATAGGCCAAGAGCTGGAACTGAAGTGTCTTCCCAGCCAGCATAGGTATAAAGCTATCTGGGAGGGTGTAAGAGGGAAAGGAATGAGCTCGAGCTGCAGGGATGTCATTTTTCCTTTGACTCTGGGCTCTGACTGAAGGTTGCAGAGAAAGCTGCTCCATCCTCTGGTTTCACCTTACCTGAGCCTAATCTGCCATTTGCTGATGGTTAGCACAGTCACTTTAGTGAAGGATAAAAAGACTATGTAGACTTGGAATGGACAAAACCAATATCCACCTAACTCTACTGATTAAAAAGAAAAAGTTTGATAGGCTTCAGAATGCTTTCATCTATTAGCTGCAGTGTTTTTTTGCAATGAGTAAGCTATGTCTGAAACTTTAAGCCATGTCTGTTAACTGATAAATAATACTCTATTTATCCCAACATCCTGAAGCAGTATTGGTTTAATCCATACACGAACAATGGGAGGAGGGAAGTGGAGCGTTTTTCTTATCTAGGAGTCTTTCACTAGTTTGGACTAAGATCAATGTACTGTAGGGGAAGAAAAATAGTTTTCTCTCTACCCTTCTAGGTCTTTGCCTGAGATCCTCCTGTAATAAAAGGATTAACAAGAGAAAAAAAAATTTAGTTTCATATGTATGGGAGCCCCGTAAAAATATGAGATTCAAAGGCAGCCAGGCACTTGAGGCTTATACACCATCCTGAGCTAAGGAAAGGGATAAAGGTCTGGGGCTTCAAAAGGGAGGAAGACAATTCACAGGGAGAGGAGAAGAGAAAATGTTTGGTGAGCAAATGTTTTCCCTGCCATACAGAGAAGTCTCTCGGGTGAGAAAGTCATCTCCGGTATAGCTCTCTTCCTGGTGCAGGACCTCTTTCCACACTCTTTTAGGCAGTTAATTGGGAAGAAGAAAGCTTTTCCTGAGTCTCTGGGTCTTGATTGCTTTCTGCTCAAAATAATCTTTATGCCAAAGAGGCATATTTTGGAGTGGCATCTTCTGCTCCCCTTCGGCACTCTCCTCAGACCTGATTTTCTAGATAACTGCTAGTGTCCGCTTTACTTCTCCCAACCAATCTCCTGGACTGTACCACTCACCTCAGCCTAGGAGCTCACGGATGGTGTTCTGGAGTACCGATATCGAATTCCTCATGAAACTGGAGTCATCTCAGGAGACTGTTTCTTATCCTTTCCGTTTTTTCACTAGCAGAAGCTGCAGGCTATTCTGTGTCCCCGAAAGTCCCTATGAGCAGACAACTTATGTTTCCTCTCCTGTTCCCTCTTAATCTGACAGATGTGGTATTTGAAAGATAACATGAAGACCTTTAGAACTGGCCAGCTAGGACACTAATTCTCCCAGTGAAGAGACAGTAGATTAAAGAGCATTCTAGTCCTTCAATTTATTTCAAAATTCGTTCTGTTAACTTGTCACTGAAGTTCTCAAGTTCAAAGATTTCCCAGGAATCTGTTGCCTTCAGACAGTCAAACGGTCAAATTAGCAGCGTAATACATATAAGGAAGTGAATTTGCAAAAGAAAAATTGTTTAAGACTTTCTAAACTAACACCTTTTCCTTCTAGTTCTTCTCTCATCCCTCATATGACCCATACTGGTTACCATAGAAACAGATGTTTTCATGCCCTTGGAAGACTCAAAATACATTATGTTAATTATTTGCCCTTAAATGTCGCCTGTTTCAGCAAAACAATCTGTGCCAAAAATCTGTAGACACACAAATACATGCTCTGTTCTGAATCATTGGAGTCACAAAGAAGAGGGATTTATTTGTTAAAATGTTTCACATAATCAAAATTCTTAAGCATGTTTCTAGAAAAACATAGTCCATTGTTTGTAGTAAGCCTGGTTTTACATGTTAACCTTGCCAGTAACTAGCAGTGAGAACATGGGCAAATGGCTTAATCTCTCTATGCCTCAGTTTCTTCTTTTTATTTTATTTTATTTTATTTTTTTGAGGAAGATTAACCCTGAGCTAACTGCTGCCAATCCTCTTCCTTCTGCTGAGGGAGACTGGCCCTGAGCTAACACCCGTGCCCATCTTCCTCTGCTTTATATGTGGGACGCCTACCACAGCATGGCTTGCCAAGCAGTGCCATGTCCACACCCGGGATCTGAACCAGCGAACCCCGGGCCACGAAGCAGAACGTGCGAACTTAACCGCTGTGCCACCGGGCCGGCCCCTGTGCCTCAGTTTCCTTACATGTAAGATAGGAATAATTTTTTTTTAATAAAACCTACCTTATAAGATTCTGGTGAGAATAAAATGAATTACTGAATGTAAAAGCTCTTAGAACAGTATCTAACACATAAGATAAGTACTCAAACTTTTTATCTACTATTAATATTACCATTATTATTTTTTATTTTATTAACTTCCTGTTTCCTGTTTTCTTTTGCTCTGGGCTTCAATTATCTCAAATTAGTTTTCCCTATTTGTGGGTCACATTCACCTTGAAGTAGAGTGTCTCTCAGACGAATAGATGAAAGAATGAGTAACTGAATGAATCTGGGAGACCACATTGCACAGTGGAGAGTGAACAGACTTTGGAGTCTGTAAGAGCTGGGTATACATTAGTAGCTGCACGGCCTTGTGTAAATGACAATTGCTGAGCCTGTTTCTTCATTTATAAAATGGGGGCAAGACTTGCCTAGAGGGAATATTGTGATAGTACTTGGTGTCCAGTCTCTCAAACACAGTTGGAAAACCCTGGGAAAGTACCTTGCACATGGAAGTTGGATAATGTTTAATGGCACAAGCATGTGCTTCAGTGATATTGATAACAAGAATAGAAATGAAAGAAGAGACAAGAAGTAACGCTTACCATTTTTTGAGGGCCAACTTTTTCTTCGATAACATTCTAAATGATTAACATTCTAAAAGATTTATAGAAAGAAGCTAGAGACAGACTTTGCCTCCAAATACTATGTTGACTAGATATACTGCATGTCATTTTTACCTTTTTCTGCTTTTTTTCAAGAGATTGAATATTTTTTTCTGAACAACCTGATATAACTCACATATTCAGACTTCATGAAATAAAAAGTATAATAATTATGTATTTCTCCCCAGACTATATACCCTAGAGCTGAAGTGATCAAAATTAGGTTATACTACACTATTAAAATGATATTTGTGAAGCAATTTAGTTTACAAAAGGCTTTCACATACATTATCTGTTTAATTCTTACAACCACCCTGTACATTGGGTTGTTGACTCCACTATACTGATGTGAATCTGAGGTTTAGAGAGGCTAAATGGTTTGTGTAAGATCATTCAAATACTTTATAAGTGACAAAAGTAGGATCCTTTCCCAGGTTTTCTGACAAAAAGTCCAGGATAATTCTCTGTAGATTGCTTTCAGGAGATGTATTTGTTCATTCAAAAATATTATGGAGAAGCTACCATAAGTTTCAATCTTCTGCGATGGTGACTACTTACATTACAATTCCCTTTTCACACACATAAATATACAAATATACACACACAAATGCATATATAACAAGACAATAGTTAAAGTTAGGCAGTGTAACTCTGGTGTTTTTTATTCTAACCCATTTTATTCCATTATTAAAGAGGGATGGTTATGACCTATTAAACTGATGTCACAAACCATTAAAGGATCACAACCTCCAATTTGAAAAATACTGTACTAGGGTACAGAGGGAATAAAAAGCATTGAGTGGATAGTCTAGAAGAAAAGAAAAGACAAATACAAAAGTAAAATTAGTATGAGGTATCCTCAAATGAAAGACTTTGTAGATTGTAATTAATTTAATTCACAGATGTTTTTCATTTCTTCTTCTAAGTAAAAATATTGGCTGTGTAAAAAATAATAATATTTAGAGGTAGAAATGATAACAACCATAGGAGTGGTAGAGAAAAAGTAACAAGAGAGGAAAGAAAAGCTACTTTAACCTGAGAAAATAACATTAAAATAAGCTATTTTTAATATCCTGGTAATTAGGGTGGGGGCTTAAGAGGTGGTTTTGAAGGATGAGTACAATTACAACATAATAACGCCTACATGTTTGTCTCTTCTTTGAGCATCATCGCAATAGCCATGAAGCAAAGTGAAGAGCAGTGGTAGTGATCACAGTATTTCCAAAAACCTCGAGATGCTCTCATTTTACAGAGGGGAAAACTGAGGCCCAATGAAAGCAACTAACATGGTCAAAGTCAAACAGCTAGGGGCAGAGCTTCAACACCAAAGCGAATCACCCCCAAAACCCATAATCTTTCTCTGTTATATTGTTTCACCATCAGTTAATACTTTCTAATACTCCATTAGAATCTCATCCCGTTAAGAAGAGAGAAAGAGTGGGGTCGGAGGTCCTTGTGATCTCCAGCCTCTGTGAAGAGAAAACAAAACAAAAAACATTTGAGAATCACTCTAACAGATGACCTGCTAAAGTGGTATTAACGGTTCCTAGGTCTGTGTGAGAATTCAGATAATGCAATTTTAACACAAACTTTGACAAAAGCTCAGAAATATGTATGCACTATTAATTTTCCTTGTCTTCTCTTATTGGTGAAAATTGGGGTTTTGAAAATTACTGTTGGTATATATAGAATTCAAAATAGAAATTCCAAGAAACTCAAAGAATTTTATATATTATGTGAAAAGAATGGAAAAATATTTCTTCATCATTTGGTCATCCTATCAAACAATATGATCAAATATTGAGACAATCACAGAGATGAATGTCTTCCTACCCCAAACATCTTTTCTACCCTAAATAATCAGTGAAATGGGCCGGCCCCATAGCCAAGTGATTAAGTTCCTGCACTCCCCTTAGGCCACCCAGCATTTCACCAGTTCAGATCCTGGGGTTGGACACGGCACCGCTCATCAAGCTATGCTGAGTCGGCGTTCCACATGCCACAACAAGAAGGACCTACAACTAGAATATACAACTATGTACTGGGGGCCTTTGGGGAGAAGGAGAAGAAGAAGAAGAAGAAATCAGTGAAGGCTAGTTGAAAAGGAGATTCCATTCTTTAGTTAGAGCATTTTTAAAAGGTCTCCGTCTTCCCTCTCATTCTATATCCTCATTCCATTGTTCTTAATTAGTAGCTAGTAGTTACACCTGAAAATAATTTTATATTCCAGTTTTGCTTCCATCAGCCACACCTAACTGGCTGCTAACCTTTCCCACACCTCCTTTGAAGCATGTGTATATGTAGGCAGCACACACATACACGCACACACACACACATACCAAGCAGGATTGTGTGAATACTTTTTGCCCATCTTGTAATAAAATAATTCTATAAATGGGCTACTATATATGGAGAGACAATGCAGTGGTTAAAAATATAGTTAAGCCAGACTGCCTGAATTTGAACACTGCCTACACGACATACTAGATGTGCAATGTTTGGTAAGTTTCTTCACATGTCTGTGTCACAGTTTTATCCACTGAACAACGAAGACAATGAGAGCAAATACCTGGTAGTTTTGTTGTGAGGATTAAATGAGTAAATTTAGAGCAAGTGCTTAAAAAGATCCTGGGACAGAATATGTACTTAATTAATGTGAGTTTTCATAATGGTGATGCAGGTGATGATAATTAATAAGGAGATAATGGTGATCGCAATAATGCTGATGATGATAGAGATGGAAAATCAGGAGATTTCTACCATCAACTAGCTGGGCAGCCTGAGGTCAGTCTCTTAACCTCTTGGTGCCTAATTTCTCATCTGCAAAATAAGCAAGCTGAATTTGTTAGACAAATTTAAGAGAAAACTTTCTTTAAAATAGCTAACTTCAAATATCTTTATCAGGAATTATCTAAGTCAAAAAAGTGAATCAAAGGAGAAATGAGGTAGTAAAAAAAATCTCTGCTACCTAAAACATCTCTTTTTTTTATTTGTTTTTACAGATTCCAGCATAAAGTGCATCCCCGCTCCTGTAGTTATTGCTTCTCTCTCCTTTTTGACCAGCATCTTCATCTCTTCCAAATACAGAGCATAAAAGTGGTTTGCTTTCTCTGTACCCTTTTACTTTATCTCAGTCAAGTCACCCTCAGTACCATTGGGAATCCCTCTGCCCAGCTATCAGTTGACCCAGAGCCAGCTCAGTTCATTGTCTATGAGTGGGCCTGTAACGCAGTAATTTCTTCTCCACGAACACGGAGATTCATGCTGGAATAAAAAATGACCCAATCAGAGCCTGTGAGATACAATCATGGTAGTTTTTTGGAATTTGGATGGGAAGTGGGGTAGGTGCCCTTTTTGTGAGTGGAGATTAATGAGAGTAGAGTGAGTACGAGCCCACAGCTGCCAGCAGCTGTCTTGCCACCGGGAGGGGAGACTCTACCTCCTTGACAATGAAGTTAACACAATGAAGGAAGAGTTGAGAAATAAAAAGAAACTGAGTCCTGATGAGAGTAAATGAACCCTAGAACCAACTGTGCCTGAAACTGGATATCCTGGGCTTTTTCATTACATAAATTAATAAATCATATTTTTGCTTAAATAATTTAAATTCAGTTTCTATCTCAAGCAATCGAAGGAGTTATGATGAACATAAGGACTTTCCTTTATTTTTTATTTAGTGGTCCTAAATAGGAACTAATCAAAGAAGCTTGAGTTAGAAAGCAAAGAACAAACTCTTCATCAAATGGAAAAGCTTTGAGCTTCAGGGACATAACCAAGGTATGAATTTTCTTCACAGATTTTTATCAGCATTCAAGACCAAACCAGTGACATCTCAGATGGGAGAAAACATGGAAACTTGAGAAATAAAAGGGAAAGTTAATGAAAGATGTCAGTGAAATCTCATTTACTGCCAGTAACGGGGTGCTGCACACATTGTTAAAATATTACAAAAGTTAAAATTTAAATTCACACGTTAATTTACAGAGGACTTCATGGCAAACTGGATTTTAAGCCTTCATTGTAAATTTAAGTACATTTATTAGGAAAGTATGTGGATGTGTATAGAGATAAAAGAAAAGATACAGGAGAAAAAAAACATCTGATGGCCAAGAAAAGATCAAAGATCTATTGGCTTCCCATTATGTTCAAACAATTAGGCAAAAAGAACTATAATCACCAAACTTCACAACAGGGAACGTTCTCCAACTCTTCTCTGAGGTTGCATACATCATAGGTGGGGCAATGGGGGGTTGTCTTACATGAGCTCAAGGTCCTAGGATTGGGCTAACTGGAGTGAAGCTGAGGGCTAGCTCTATACCTTTGAATTCTGGAAATCCATGCTACTTACCCCTCTGAAATTTGGATAAGAATAAACAAAAGTGGAAATTGGCTCATTTAACCCCACTTGGACTCCCAGAAGGCCCTGGTCATGATAGAAGAGATTCAACGGGGAATTAACTATATAAAATCACCTGGTAGAGAATTCAGGCATCTAGTGCTATCATTCTTTACATGGGGATTTTGAGAATAACAGGGCCAAGTGCACCTCTGTCACCTAGCTTGCATTGGCCTCTACATCTAATAAAGCAAGCATAAAATTTTCATACACACGAACAATTTCTGTGATTCATTGCACAGGGACTTTGGCAGGCTAGTGGCTACCTAGTAGAGAGTCCTGAGGGCATGGCTCCAGGAACGAGTTGAGCAGCAAGCCTTGGTGAGGCAGTGGTGAAACGAGTTAGGAAATCATCCTCACGTCTTGCATATATTTTTTCTGTGCCATGTCAATGCATTTATTGAGCCATATTATGTACAAAGCACTCTGGGGATTAAAAGTCGAATAAACTAGGCCAGATCTTTCATAAGTTTATGATCTCTTGGGAAAAATTAAGAAAAGAACACAAACGAGTCACAAAAGAAATACCAAAAGAAAGGAGAAAACCAAGTCTTCCACGCGTGAGAGTTCAGAAGAGAGATTTCTTCTAACTGAGCAAGAGAAGTGAGGAAGGCTTCAAGAAGGAGGCAGCATTTGAGCGAGGCCTTGGAACATCGTGGTGGGAGCCAGGGGTGAGAGGAAGGACAGGTACGTATCAAGTGCTTAGCACTAAAAATGAGTACCAATAAATGCTTTAGAGAAAACTGAGATTCCTCTGGTCTGTAGGTGGATCCAGCTTTCTATCAGAGTTGAGGCTTAGGGGAGGGGCTACAGATGGATGGAAAAGAAAGAACTCAGTGGAAAATAGAGGTGGGATATAGGAATGATCAGCATAAATAAGGGTCAGAAAACAGAGAGGTCTGGCGGAGTGAAGGAGTAATGTGGACTGGAGAGGAAAGTTGAAGCCACTCAGTTAAGCTAAAAAGCCAGCTAAAGCATTTGATCTCCACGAGAAATCACAGTTTTCTGAGTAAGACAATTCTCGTAAATTGCTGACTCTTAAAGCGTGCTCCCAGTATCAGCAGCATCAGAATCCCTGAAGTTAGAAATGTGAATTCCAGGGCCTGAACCCAAATCTATGGAATTAGAAACCCAGAAATCTATATTTAATAAGCCCTCCAGGCTTGCGATTTATGTGATTATGATCTTAAGGGAATAAACAAGTTTTTAAGAAGATAATTTAGCTCTTCCTCTCCTGCTGCTGCTTTACAGAACAAATGTCTGGAGATAGAAGTTATTCTCTTGAATTATAGAGATTTGTGGTTTTAGTGAAGGCTGAATGTATGTGATTTGCATTCCTTCAACCTCTCCCCGTAGTCCAAAGTATTGGTGTAAGAAGTCTGTGAAGTGGAGCGTTGATTTAAATCGATTCAAAGTCTAAGTTCATGAAACTTTCAGAGACCAGTTTCAAAAAATTCACTGTCATTTCTGCCCCTCTGTTGGTGTGGGGTATCTTCTGAAGATAAAATAGCCCTCAATTGTGCATAAATTCATGTGATTTGTTAAAAAAAGACTACACTATAAGGTTGCATAGTATTTATCTCCTATAGTAAATTTATTAAAGCAATGCATGCATCTCTCCTTTTTGTGTATAAAAAAATATTGTGGCCCCACTTATCATTTTATTTTTATCTTTGTAATTCAATGTTCTAATATACCTATCTGATTATCTTGAAGTTCTCTATTTACTCTTACTTTACTTTTTTTTTTTTTTTTGGGTGAAGATTAGCCCTGAGCTAACATCTGTTGCCAATCTGCCTCTACTTTGTATGTGGGATGCTGCCACAGCATGGCTTGATGAATGATGTGTAGGTCTGTGCCCAGGATCCAAACCTGTGAACCCTGGGCTGCCAAAGCAGAGAGCATGAACTTAACCACTGAGCCCCTGGGCAGGCCTTTCTCTATTTACTTCTACTTAAAAAAAAATAAATCTAGTGAAAGAAAATTTCTGTAGAATTTTATGTGCTTGGGTAATCAGGATTCTCAGCCTGAGTTGTCTGATGATCTGAATCAAGTTGACTTACACTGAACAAACTAGCTCTTGATTTGGTAAAATTCAACAAGCATTTATTGAGGTAGATGCTTTCAGAGACACCAAGATGTACCAAGCATTGGTGGCCGATAAACGGGGGGTGGGGGGGGGTGGTATTACAAGTATTACAGGACTTTTTTCTTTTTATTTTTTTGTAGTAAATGACCATGTGTTTTGTTTTGTTTTGCTTCACGGCAATTCACTTTTTTCTCCCCAATTTGCTTCCTTCAAACAGTTCAACCATACTGTGCCCATGGCGTCAGAGGAGGAGTGGAACCAGGCATAAGATAGAAACAAGGGCGTCTTCCCCACTTTGTTCTTTAAAACCTGAAGGAATTGAGAGAAAATGAGAAAACCTAAACCAAAGTATTTGAGAGAAATATTAAATAAGAGTAAAAGATTTGAGAAGAATGCAGCTTTTCTCCAACATTTCCACAAGCTAGAAAGCAGCAGCAGACTAGAAGTCATCAGAGTAGGCAGATTGGTGGCACCTAGCGGGGGGGAAAATGTCTATGAGAGACGCTGTGGGTGATGACCAGCATCACAAGCTCTAGTAGCATCTGAGGACCACCCATCTTTGTTGAACCAGGCACCACCCATCTCTAACATCAAAGGGCTACACTAGCTGCCATTCTCATTGGCATCTGGTGAGGACTTCCCTGCAACTGCCGCCCATCTTCCTTGCAGTCATTTCACAGACAGGCTCTGTCCCAGGCCTTCTCTTGGTCCTTGCCCATTCATTTCCCTGTGAATTCCCCAGCTGTGGAGACATCCTAGGACACAATGCTAAAACCAAGAGAAGACAGGTGAAACCCTGGACACGTAGAGGTCCAGAAAAAGGAGCAAAATGAGAGCCACAGCTCCCTTCTCCCCTTTATGTATGTGTATTTTTGAGAGGAGGCTAGCAAATAGATCAGCTCAGGATGAAACAACTTTTAATGGATCCCTATTGCAAATGAGCCAGGTTTCAGCTGAGAGAAAATGCAGAGTTAAGGTATTGAAATTTATTCTTTTTCCAGGCCCTCTCAGCCCTGGAAATGGTCAAAATGCCCTTGGCCCCCACCACAGGACATTCTGAAGGTCATACAATTTGGGAGCAAGGAAGGGATTCCTTATTTAAGATTACAATGGTAATTACAATGACAACCTTGGCTTTAGAGCTGAGCTCTTGGCTGAAGCCAACAAAAATGCAACTTCAAAGCAGCCTTGATTAAGGAGGTTATCTGGCAACGTTGGTGGAAGTGATTGCATCTCAGGCAATCACTAAAAAGTACATAAATAGAGTACTTTCTTCCTCCCTCTCCATCAAACGCTCACATTCAATTTCTTTCCTTTTACTTTCTCATGCTTCAGACTTTTTTTTTTAACATGTGTAGGCAAATAGGTTCTTTTTAAAGGAGAAAATGGGATTAAAATTTTAAATGAGATAATGTTTAAATAAGGAAAACACTTAGGTATTTTGAGAAGGAAAATTCCAATAAAGAACTAAAGTTATTAATGCTTACTGACAACAAAGTTCCTATTAGGTATCATGTGAAACAGGCCAATCTGGAGAGCACACACTCATTCACAATGCATGAGAGCCAAAGACTTTATGGGAGGCAAATGGACTACTTATCTACCTTTTCTTCTCCAATACAAGCACATTTCAGAAATCCTACTTCTACTAGTGTTATGGTCTTTGCTTTGTGAAAGGTTAAAGCACCTCCATTTTTCAACCTCTAATATCTCCTAATCATAAAATCTCAGCAGGAGACAAACGAGAACAAATCATCTGCTCTGGTCTTAGTCACATAAGCAGGAAAATTCTATTACTCCTCATTCATTGTTCTCATTTACTTCTGGAAAAATCATATCAAAAGTATTTAGTGATGGTGTATGATAGGCAAGGCACTGAAGTATATAGAAATTGGTCTGTGAGTGACAAAAATGCAGAGGTTATTTTATGTTTCCTGGGCTTGAACGGTCCTTTCTGCCAGATTATCTAATGATGATGTTTACATTTACCTTGACTTCGCACTGTAGTAGCCAGAAATAGAATTACTAAGATTGGAAATTAGGATCATTTTAATTATGATTTAAGATGAAACATAATGTTTGGAAACATCCTCAAACGTAATGCTACCTTGATTTTTTTGAACAATATATTCTTTCTGGTATCTGCCACTTCAAGCAGATGGCTTGAAAGAAGGAAAGCTAGTTTCTTTGATTATTTATTTTTATTTGAATAAAGCAAAACTTGAGGCAAATGGTTTGCCAGGTGACTACTCTTAGCACTTATGTCCCAACAGACCACATGTCTGGCATCAAAGGTCTTAGAAAGTACTATAAAAACACAGGATTTGAACTGATTTTCTGACAGAAACGAGCACTTCTGTTGCAGTCCCTCTAGTTATCGGCTTTTTTAGACACAGAAATCTTGCCTTCCATTGTCTTTATGGCTTTTTGGAGGATCTCTAAGATTGGTCCCATAGCGCTGACAATTTTCTCCAACTGATCTGCAGCTAACTCAATGGTATTCTCAGCATTCTCAGTTTTTAATGCATCCTGCACCTTTTTCAAGGTATCCACTGTAGTGGTTTTGGGTAGACCTGAACTTGGGCTTTTCTCAGATGTACTGGCATCTGATTGCGGTTTGGTGTCTTTTCTGTAGAAGTCACTTAATCGAAGATTCATGATGGGATATTTCATCAAGAATGAAAGAGAAGATTCCAAATTCCCCAGGATGCTACTACCACTCAGCGCAGAGACCATGATGGGTATAGGGACATTTTTGAACATTTCTTTAGCAGACTGCTGCAACTCCTTTACAGTGGTACTCTTCTCAACCACAGAGCACACGGCTGCTGCAATCTTTGAACATAAAGGTTCCTTTTGCATTTTTTCCTGCTTGGCATCCACTGCAGACTGCATCTCCTTAAAAATGTTGAGCATTTGTTCAAAGACATCCTTAACATGACCATCTTCTTTCACAGCCATCAAGATGATCTGGGCATCCATACTGCTATTAAACAATTCAGTAAGTGTGTTTGTGGAGGAAGCAAGATCTTGTATTTGAAAGAAGAATGTTTTGGCAGCTTGAAACAGCCTCTCTTTATCCTTTTCTGACTCTGAAGACATTTCTCCAACAAAATTGTTTCAGCACTGCAAAACAAAGCAGTAATCCAAATGAAAACCAAAAGCATATTTATCAACCATCAAGAGACTGAAAGTATACTCTACATGCCAGGATAACTCCTGTCAAGGACTGCAAAGCTACACAAGCTGTAAAGCAGAAATGAGCCTATGCTTTAACAAAAATAATTAAGACAGAGTAGAATAGGGGTGTTTCATTGAATTTAAACCACATATCAAATATTTTTAGCTAGATCCTGAAGTGGATATGCTGATATATGCATATCCTCAATAACTATCGAATCTACTGGAGAAGATTGGATAAAGCATTAAAAATTACATAGAGGGGCTCTGGTTCCAGTTTAGAGAGAGCAAGAGCACTCCACCCAATCTTTCTTACTGATTACAACTGAAAATCCTGGACAGAATAGATAAAGCAACTACGAGATAACTGAAAGGCGGATAACAGCAGACCAGGCCGGTAGAGAGTGCAGCCTTCCAAAGAGGACCAAGGCCATCTGATGCAAACTCCCAAAATGTCTGTCCAGTCTAAAAATGTTTCTGCACTTTGATTACAACTCATTCTCTTCTGCTACAGAGAGGAGTGTAAACATCGCTAACCAATGTGCACGGTCTTTTTTTGGTCTCTCTAGAATTCTGCTCTATCAGTCATTTGCCCTTTCTCTTGTGCCGTGAACTGAACTGTGCCCTCCCAAAATTCATATGTTGAAGCCCTAAGCCCCAATATGACTGTATTTAAAGCCTACAGGGAGGTAATGAAGGTGAAATGAAATCATGAGGGCAGGGCCCTGATATGATACGATTAAGGTCCTTTTAAGAAGAGGCACCAGACAGCTCCCTCGCTCACTCTCTCCACCATGTGAGGACACAGTGAGAAGGTGACTGCCTACAAATCAGGAAAAGGGCCCTCACCAAAAACTGAATGGCCAGACACAAAAAGACAAATACCACGTGATTTTACTCATATGTGGAAGAAAAACAAACATATGTATGAAGACAGATTAGTGACTACCAGAGGGGAAGGGGGTTAGGGGTTGGGCGAAAGAGGCAAAGGGGCACATATATATATGGTGATGGATACAAATTAGACTATTGGTGGTAAGCACGATGCAGTCTACACAGAAACTGATAAATAATGGAAACCTGAAATTATACAATGTTATCAACCATTATGACCTCAACAAAATAATTGGAAAAAAACCTGAATGGGCTGGCACCTTGATCTCAGGTTTCTCAGACCTCCAAAACTGTGAGAAAATAAATTTCTGTTGTTTAAGCCCCCAGTCTGTGGTGTTTTGTTCTGGTTGCCACGCTGACTAACATCTTGCATCCTCCATGTCTGCCTCTTAATTTTTCCTTCTCCTTTAACTACATACATACACACTTTCCTAGTCAGGGGAAAAAAAAAAACTTTTACCTTGATTTCCCTTCAAATCATGATTCCATCTCATTCCTTCAATTCTCAAATTTTCAAGAGACATTCTTTACATCATTGTAATTTATTCTGTCCTCCACCATTTTCCTATAGGGCACCAATAATTTCTAATTATCCTAACCATGTTGAGTTCTCTGCATTATTTAAAATTGCTGAATACCTTGTCTTGCTTCAAAATTTCCCTTTCTTGAGGCTTCCATGATGTTGTACAACTCTGGTCCTTCTGTATTCTCTAAGCACTTATTTCACAGGCTTCTCTTCCTCCTCTTACAACCAATGGCTCTCCAGTCTCCTAAACTCTGCAAGGTTGTGTCTTTGGTCTTCATTATAGTCTACATTTCCTCTCTTCGAGATCTCATCTGTCCCTGTATCTACAAATGCCACCTGCAGGCAGATGACTCCTAAATCTCCTACTGTACCCTCAGCAATTCTCCTGATCTCCAGATCTACATTTCCAACTATCTATTGGTCATCTCCACATGGTGACTGCACCAGTATATTCCACACAACATATCCAAAACTGCACTTATCTCCTCAAAAAACACTTTCTCCTCTTAACTTTTGCCTCATTGTTGAGGCTCAAAATCCATTTTTATCTTCACTTTCCAATGTCAAACCAATCCCTAAGACTTGTTCATTCCCTCTGAACTTACTTCTGTCTCTCCTCTCCCTTCCATTCCCATAACTACTACTCCAGTTACCTCTCATCCAGACAGTTTTATAGTCTCACATTTGATCTCAATACTTTTGGTCCAGGGGTCACAAACTGGAAATCCACAGGCAAAATCCAACCAGCAGATGTGTTTTGTCTGACCTACCATGATGTATTTTCAAAATCTGTGTTAGCTGCCAAATTTAAAGATTAGAAATCTGGATTCCTATTGATTATTGAAAAAAATGAGATTAACTGGTGGCACTAAGCCCATATTCTGAATTGGAAAAATTTCCTAGAGCTGAAGTTGTCCCCTTTAAACTGAACACTTGCCCTTTATACCCTATTGTCTTAGACTAAACGTTTCAATTACTTACATAACTTGTCCAGCTACTGTAGGCACTGGAGGCGGTAACCCATGCTTTACTGTCCATACCTACTAATCCAATTAATAGAAAGTGACCTTCCTGAAAGTCAAACCTAATATTATCCTATAATAAAAGCCTTCAATGGTTCAGGATCACCTAGAGAATAAAACACAATTTCCTAGCATGGCGTTTAAAGCCATCTACAAACTGCTCTCCATTTCCCACTACTTGCCTTCCCTTCACTGCTGTCACATACACCCTTACCACCAGCATAGTCGATTAATTTTAATTTTGTTCCCTGAAAACGCTCTACAATTTTTTGTTCGGCTTCTTTGTTCATCATATTTGCTCCATCTGCACTATCTCCTCCATACCCCACCCCCTACACATCTACTGAAATCTTACTCCTCCATCCTTACCTATTTCAGATTCACTGGCCACACAGACTTTTTCCTTTTTTCCCCATGCACCCACATGGTGGGGCCCTAAGATACATCAAGTACAAAATGACCCACTGGGACAAAAGTACAATAACACCCCACTTAGTCATTCTGTAGGACCACAGGGCAGCAGCTGTAGATTTTACAAGTCTCCTATCTGGTGTTTTCGTTCTGTATCATCTACCTACCCAATAACAACAGGAATTGGTCTTGTTAATATAAGAAGAATATTTAGTACGTTTTTGCCACATAGGCACTATGCGAAGTATTTTACCTGTATTATCTCATTTAATCCTTATGACAATCCATAAATCACAAACTAGTACATTACACCAATGAAAAAATTTAGAGAGATTAAGTGACTTTCTCAGGGTTACATGGCTAGTAAGTGGTAGTTTCAGTACACAAAATCAGGACTGTCGGATTCTAAGGCCTATGGACTTTCTACTAAATTACCCTGGAGCTGAGCAATTTCCTGCTTTTGAGGTGTCCTCACTGCAGAAGAATCATTAGGGATTAGGACAGGATCTAGAGGAAGAAACATGAAAGATTCTGATCTACGCTTTAAGAGAAAAGAGTCAATATGGTCTTCAAGGTTTTTATACTGTCAAGACAATTCACTAAGATAACAAGAGAGATAGTGATAAAGAGAAGAATGCCTAGCCAGGAAAGAAGAACACAGGTACAAAAAACACATTTGGCTGGAAATTTCTGGATTTATATCTCTTGACAACCTAAACAATCAGCAACAGATGGAGGTACAAATGCAACAGAAGCTAAAGGAAAGCTATTATCTGGAAGAGTGACAAGATGGAATTCCAAAATTTGAGAGTCGCAATCAAAGAGCCATCTTCTCTACTGAATTGAATCAGCTCAGTTGTATAGTACTTTCAACAACAAAAAGCCCATTAAAGAAGAGAAAATTGAATGTTTTACCACTTTATTAGTCTTTCAAATTACATTACTTAATATATACTAATTTTCTATTAATATAGGAAATAGAAGAATTCTGAAAACTAAGCCATGCAGAAATAGTCTAAAAACCGGACAGGCAGAGGGACCCAGCAGAGACTAGCAAAGCCTGTAAGTCATCACATTCCATCAGAAACATCCAGATGAAACCAGACGAAAAAGCACTTCAACAATATTCCTAAACAGCTGCTGGGACTGCTGAACTCAGAAACACAGCAAGGTAAGCAATATGGATATTCCTATTAGTATTGCTATAATATTCTGTTTCTTCATATTAAAGGATATTCGAAATAACAAGTCAGTCTTGAATCCCACCCATAAATAAAGTAACGAAACAACTTTGTTTTAAGAGGATCCCATGGCATGTTCCTTCTGATTATTTCTCTGAAGACAGCACAGAAAGAAGAAAAGTAACAGTTTATATAACTGATTAAGTCAGAGGGGAAGCTGAAGCAGTAAAGACATCAATTGTAGAAAGGATTAAGGATGAAAGGACACCTGTGTAAATGTGCATTGTTTACATGGATTGTAACATTTCCTTCTATGTCTTTAACATTAACATAAGCACTCAGTACCTGTGAAAGAATGAATGTGCAATCTAATACTAGTCAATGGAGAGTGCTTATGCTCTTTCATAAGCTATATTACATTTAAATATCATTGGGCACTTGTTGTGTGGCTCCAAACAGACTGCTATCTTCTTGAAGGCAAGAAATATCATCTACTTTATATTTTTAATGCCTCAAGGCACACAGAAATTTCTCAAGTAAGCATTTGCTAAATGCTGATGAATGACTTTGATAATCTGCTTTGTGGTCAGAAACATTCTTTAGAAAAATTTACATGAAAAAGAGCGTCATCACAGGGTGATCAACTTGTTTTGTTTTATTTTTTAATGGAAAGCAATGGTTTTGATTTAATTTAAAGAAGGAGGCTCAGAACTAGTTAGTATCTGTTATTTTCTCCTGAGAAGCTTCGGACTTTACCTATACCCTATTCCCACACTCCCAAATAAGTGAACCTTGCATGATGGCTGGACCCAGTACAGACAATGAGAAGTCACAGCAGGGAGAAAAGGAAAACCTTAGAGAGCACTAATGACTAAACATCAGAGGCTTAGACAGGGTCATGGTTTTTTTCTTTCATTCTTTTTTTAATTGTTATTATGGGAAAAGTTCAAATATACACAGAGGTGGAGACAATAATAGAAATGAACTCCCACACACCCATAATCCAGCTTCAAAAATTATCAAAACAAAGTCTATCTTATTTCCTCTAAAACCTACTCCACTCTCCCTTCCAGATTATTTGGAGGCAAATCTCAGAGACTGTTATTTCATCCTTAACGTTGTCAGTATGTATTTCTACAAAGACAAGAACTCTTCTTTTTCAAATTCGGTCTTATGCTCCCCAAATTAACAATAAGTAATAGAATCATCTTTGACTTTGAAACACACCCAGTGTCCTGGTGTAAAAATTTATTTTTGGTGACAGTATAAAAGTTTTTGGAATACAATTTACAATACATATCAAAAGTAATAAAAACTTTAATTCCTATTGATTATATAGTTCTTCTGTAAATTTATCCTGAAGAAATAATCCAGACAGTTGAAGAGGAAACAAAAAGCTATGTGTATTAAAATGCTCATTAGACTATTATGATAGTGAAACAATTGAGGATTTATTAAATTATGGTAAGGATATCTTATGGAATAATTTATATAACTAATAAAATGATTATAAAACTAGAAATATGAGAAAGTGTTTAAATTAATATAAGATGAAAATGTTATTTACACTATTACAACTTTGTAAAACTACTTATGCATTTAAACAAACTTTAAAAAAGAATAACCAAAAACACAAGATAGCAGGTTTATGGGTGTTTTTCCTCCTCTATTTTAACATGTTTATATATTAGTGCTATTGATTTTACATTTTAAAATAGTTTGTTTTATCAATATTTTACTTTGAATTTCTTCATGTTATAATTCTACCATCTATCTAAGCACATAATCACATTACTTTCCCCATAAAGCTTCCTCTAATTGCCTCAATATTAATTTCTCTTTTTAAATTCCAATAGCACTTGACAGTCAATGCACTACTGTTATTCACAAAAGTATCCTGAGTTTTTATTTGAATATGTGATAATCAGCACACTTCCACTTTGTAAGGTGGTTCCTTTCCTGAAAAACAAAAATGGCTGTACAGTATCACTACATAAACATTAACTTTCAGATACTATCAACACATTTCCACCATTTCTTATACACGCTTTTATCTTGAACGTTTGCTTCTCAATTCAACAAACTGATGAGGTCAGGTTCAATAAGAATCCATCGGAAGCCAGTCTCTGTTCCCACTCCAATTTCCTAAGCCATGCTGATCACTGGTACCAGCACTCCTAGATTTGTTTAGTTCCTCTTTTATGAAAGAACAAGTCAAAATATGTGTGACTTCTAGACTTTGTTTTAGCAACAGAACTCTCTTATCAACAAAATTTTACCCACTCACGGCCCAAATATAGCCCCACGAGAAAGCACAGCTGCCTCAGTAAAGGCTGGGGCGAAGCAAGCGCGCCAGAGGCCAGGAGCTCCACCTGCTGGTTACCAACTGCACACCAGGCTGCCCCAGGTTCTATATAACCAATTTCACCAACCACTAGAGTAAAATACTCAGAGGACAGCCCAAACTCTGCTGTACAGAAGTGGATGGTAACTTCTCAAAGTGATTTTTTCCACTGACAAGGAGCACTATTACGTGCTAACAAATATTGTAAAAATTCGTATTTACCATACAAAAGGTGCAGGTAATCAGAGCTGGATTAAGTACACTCTAAGCCACCTGCTGATGCTAATCTCTAAAAGTCATTTTTAAAATGACTTTTAAAAGATTGAATTTTAAATTCAATACTTAAAAGGTCATCCTTGAAAATTTAATAAGATAAGGAAACGTATAAGGCCCAGAACTCCTCTGAGGTATGTACTAGAAAACGTTGGTGAAACACCACTGAAGGCCTGCCTAAGTAACAACTATAATATAAAGGGGACTTCAATTAATTGCAGGGCTTTTGTCTTGCTGAGTGAAGTAAGCAATTTGAGAGTCAGAACTAAATTATCACGGGCAATAGTGGAAACTCTGGACATTATCAACTACAGTTTTCCATGTGGTGTATACCTCTCCTCTAAAAATCAAGCACATATTTAAGAGTATCAATTTGAAACAGTACAAATTGTTAACCTTCCCTAGATGATCAAATGTCTCCATAAAGCTCCAGTGTAAATACACATTAAAGTGTGGGTTCTTTAAAATTTGAATTTGCACAAGCCAAGCAGTATCTCTAATTTTGTATGATATTTATTTTCAACTTGACATTGTAGTCTTAAATCGATCTTAACTTCCTTACTAGATTAGAAATTCTATGAAAGCAGGGACCACGTCTTTTTTCATTTTTGTATGCCCTACAGAGGCCAGCACACCACCTCATACATAGTAAAGTACTACTCCATTAGATGAATTGCTACTGAATTATTAAATTGCTTCCTTGCTCTTCAAATTTCACCTGTCCAAAACGAAACTCATTGGTTTCACCTTCAAACCTCACCTCTCCTCCGCCTAATTCTCTAGCATTTATCTCACTGTTGGGATGGAAATAATCTTGAATTGCATTCAGCACTAGAGCAGGCATGGTGGCAGGCCAGCTGAAGATCTGTTTGCATAAGAAACCCTCCCAATCCCCTTCCTCAAAGGAAAAAGAGCTAGGAAGGTAAGCCTGACTCAGAAAAATAAAAGTCTTTTTTTTACTAGATGCGAAAAATAGTTCTGAGCACATCTTGATGTCTCTTACTCAAACTTGTTATTGGCACAAAATTACGGATATCTGGATCCTAGGAAGAAGCGTATAAAAGTGCATGTGCAAGGGCTTTAGTACATAAAGGAGAGAAAATATTACTTTTGTAGATGAAAAAGTTCCGTGTCTTCGATTTTCGGTAAGATTGAGCTTTTCTCATCAGTTTGCTACTATTTCTTCTTTTACTGTCTGTTAAGAGTTGTTTGCTCATTAAGCTAGTAGATTATTCCTGTTTTCCTTATGAACAACGGTCTTTATAGAAATTAAGATCTTTTCATTTTTCCTGCATTTTCCCCACTTTGCTTTCAGTTCTTTTTACATAGTCATCTTTGTTAGTCAAAATTTTGTGTGACTTTTTTCCATTGGTTTTAAGCTTATAAAGTCCTCCTCCAGACATTTGAAAATTATCCATTTTCTTCTAGCTAATTTATCATTTGACTTTTTTACATATATTACACTAACATTTTTTATTAACTTTTAACCCCCTGAAACCAGCCCGATATGCCAGGACCATTTATGGAATAATAACTTCAATTAATATCAATTTGAGATTCTACATTTATCATATAGTAAATCAAATGTACAGAAGGGTCTGCTTTGGGGACTATTTTGCTCCGCGACTCTATCTACTCTTTCACCTGTACAATACTGGTTAATATTGTATTTTTTTTGGTGTTTTAATATTTGGGGAGAAAAAGTCCCATCATTACTTCTACTGAAAAAATAAGTAGTTTCATCTACTCAGCCTTTCAGGCAGATTTTATGATTAATTTGTAAAGTTGTATTAAAACAATAAATTAATTGGGAAGGAACTGACCACTTGGAAGCATTCAACCTCCCATCCAGGAGGAAGGTCCATCTCTCCATTTGTTTATCTTGAGGTAATAGAAACACAAGCCTTTTCTGGAAGCTATGCCTTCATACAATGGCATATGATAGCTGCTAGAGATATTTTCCACTTTTTCAGGGTAAGAAAGAGTCCTCTCACCTAAATATCTGAGTTAGGATGTAGTTGGTGATCTTCTGAATTCAAAGTCAGAAACTAGAGTTTTCACTTCATGTAAAGATCTGAAAATTAGGAATGAAAAAAAAAAAGAAAGAAAAAAGCTTAATGGAAAATTCCTAGCAGAAAAAAGAAATCAAAGTCCAAATTTGCAGTCTGCAACCCAATGGTGAGTTTACAGAATATTTAACAGACCCTCAACAAACAATTTCTTTAAATGATATTGACATTTTCTAAATACCGTTTTGTGGAAATGTGTGTCTGGCGTGTGTGTGTGTGTATACTGGATCTGAATCAAGGATAAAAATGAATTTCTGACCATGATAAAGTTTATCCTACCAGAGGTACCAACGCATTTTTCTAAATTTAACAACATAAATGATTATGTTCCTAATATATTTTTTAAACAATTTTCCCTTTCCATTTCCAAATTATATCCTTATGACTTAGAGGATAAGTTATTTTCATGCTTACTTTCTTGGAGAAAAACATCTCCATTCCTTCATCTCATGCTTCTGAGGTCCCCCATATCTAGGCTAAAAAACATGGTCCTAGAATAGAGTCCCAATTAATCAGGATGTTGTCTTCTCAAAGAGAGGATGTATGAGATGCCACACAGATAAAGAGTACTCCATTTTTCTTTCTTTTCTTGTAAGAGTTTAAACAAAAAACAGAAGTGCCAGGCACACAGTAAGCCTACTCAAAGTATGCATATTTGGTAACATTGTTCTTACTTGGCTCAAACTTTGACCCAAATAAACTCAGAACATGCTTGTTCTTTTTCCCTCTGCACGGTACTCTGAGCCAGAAGTACAGATACAAGAAGCCTCCTACCACACTTATTTTATATATTCTATGGTGTACTCTTGCTTATTCCTTAATGCTTTTGTGAAATGGACTTTTCTTTTTCAGGCTAACTCTAACTTATCTTAATAATGGCCAAGTGCAAGACAGACCATTCTAAAGAACTTCATTTATAAGCTTTGCAAATGGAGAATCAGAGAGGGGGGTGATAAGTGCACTGTCCCCTGCACCATGCCCATTCTCTCCCCAAGTAAAATTTTAATCTAAGAATCAATCTAATTAAACAATCCTCTTATCACAAAGATTTTTTGTAGATTCTAATGTTACAGGTGTTTTCCCTTTGGATGTCCCTTAGGTTTAGAAAACAAATAATTTGCCTGTAAAGATAAAGTGATTTGAATATTATAAATTAAGGTAACAGACTATATAAACAAAATCAGATATTAATAGCCCTGGAAACTGAGAGATCTTAATATTCTTCTGGCCCGACTAATTTAACTTCAAATATTAGAGAAATCAACCTGGTGGTCTATTCAATGTAGTAACTAGGGGTTGGGGAAATTAAGGGGCGCTGGTTATCAAGAGCTAACCGTTTCAAACCGAGGTCTGTTTCAAATATGTTATTACATATTACTTGGAAATAACCACATTTATTAACAACCAGATGCTTGATAAACACAAGTATTTCCCCTCTAGGATTTCCCCCACCACAAAACCTAATGCCTTAATTAATGCATCAATAGGTTGTATTCTATAACCCACATTTCCATACACTGACTCCAAGTTTCAGAAAAATAACTGTTTGGAAGATTCTGTTGAGTTTTCCAAGGAACTCCTTAGACAGCATATTGCTACTTCGCTACTCAAGAAGTAAAAGATCTGGTCAAAACTATGAAGACAGCAGATATTTTTCAAGATTTTTAGTGGAGGTTTACTATTTTATTTTTCAGAGATCATATCTGAATTATGGCTCAGAGTGACTTCCTCTACCCAGATAACCCAAGGAGGCGGCAAGAAGTAAACCGTCTTCACCAGCAGCTCCTTGACTGCTTATCGGACAGCTTCCACGCCACCAATAAACTAACGGAGGTCTTAAATACACACTTGGGTTGCAGTCTGGCCTCCATTGAGATGAAAAAAGATGGGACCATCAAAGAAAACTGCGATATCATCATCCAAGCCATGATGAAAATCCAAAAGGAGTTGCAAAAGGTCGATGAAGCACTAAAAGAGAAACTAGAGCCAACTCTCTACAGAAAACTTCAGGATATTAAGGAACGGGAAACAGAGAAAATTGCAATAGTACAAAAGGTTATTTCAGTCATCCTGGGAGAAGCTACTTCTGCAGCCAGTGCAGTGGCTGTAAAACTCGTGGGCTCAAATGTCACAACTGGCATAATTAACAAGTTGGTCACTGTATTAGCTCAAATTGGTGCTTCTCTCCTTGGCAGTATAGGAGTTGCTGTTCTTGGCCTTGGCATAGATATGATCATCCGTGCCATCCTGGGAGCAGTGGAGAAAACGCAGCTGCAAGCAGCCATCAAAAGTTACGAGAAGCACCTGGTGGAATTCAAGTCAGCCTCAGAAAAATATCATCAAGCCATTACTGAGGTCACCAACACAGTGAAACATCAAATGAAATAAACAGCCACTTTATGTGCCACTGGAATATTTTTCTTCTTCTCTCTCAATAATAGTTTTGCTTCTTTGATTAGGTTCATTTTCCTTAAGTTTCCAACATAGGCATAAATACAGTAAACAACTGGGAAATAGAAATTAGAGATGCTAAAACTAGACGACTCCAGTTTCCCATTAACAATGAATGCCTGGATCAGTGTGTGCTGGACCCTGTGGTGTAAAAGATTCTATGTCGGGACGTCTTCTCACTCTGCTCTACCAGATGAAAATTAGCGTAAATGCTATTGTAGAGCAGCAGGTGTAGGGGGTACCTTTTCCTTTTCTAATTCCCAGTCAAAATTCTTAAAATTTACATTGAATGCAAAGACTTTCATTTCTACCACCAGGTTTGGACATCATTTTGTTGAAAGGGGACATACTTAGTAAATTCTTCCTGGACACAAATCCTGGGTCTTCAGATGGAACAGAATTACTACTGTAATTTTTACTATCAGTTTAAATCAAATTTTCTGTAAACTGGAAGAGACTGAAATAAGGTTTGTAACAATTTACTTCAATGATGAAAGGAGGCAATGGTTCTGTAAACCACTATTACACACCATAATCTGAATGGATTTGTAAAAGATAAAAATTAAAACTAGGTTCTGTTTCTACAGTTGCAATCAACCCTGACTAACCGTGGTGTGATTAAATATCCCTTAAGTGAAAGTTTGAACACTCTGGAACATTTGAAAAACCAACAAGCAAATCCTAGCTATAAATGCATAAAATGCATTTAGGATGCGGGAGAGGAAGTAGCTAGTCTTTTAAGAATTTGTCATTTAGAGGTGGGTCAAAATTGATCACCTTATGGGTTTTCAGAAAAAAGAAATTTCATTTTCAATACTAGCAGAAAGGAGGAAGTTGCCCCTGCTATACAAAGCTTTAGGTGGCCCATTTCACTAATTGTCTAATTTGAGAAAAATTCAGAGGCTATGGAGGCCTAATGGTTCAGCTAAACTTCTGAAGATGCAAATGTCTGTTTTCTAAATCCTTCACCCACTTTTAACTCCCCACTGACACTCTTAGGTTCTACTCACAAAATTTTTAATGAGCTGTTGATGTAAGAATGTGTGTTATAGTTGATTCTCGCATCCAAGTTCAAGAAATGTCTTGAAATTTTAAAGGCTCAGCCTATCTCAAAAATTAAAAAGCTAGATAAAATATTTTAATTTCTCAAATGTTCTCTTCATTTTGTCTCCTGTCATTGCTTTTGTAAAATAGTTGCAAAACATCACAATGTAGTTCACCTTCAAAATTAAATCTTATTTTCTTTTTTGATTATACCCGACTTATAAGCCTTAAACTACAAGATCTTATTATTGCTCTTTCTGGAACTCAAAATGCAGCCTAAAACCAAAACAAGAATTTTGTAAGACCAAGATTAGTTTACGTAAGCGATCAATATCATATGGTTAAGCACACATTTAAATATTCTACTAAAAATTAATTTTTATCTGTCAATATTTTGAAATTTTTATAATTGATAGATAAGAATTGGGCTGTACCTAACATATTTTCCTGTAAGGAATACTCAGATTAAGATCAGAAATAACCAAGCAGGTCCTTCAGGAGTAGAATTTTTAAATATTTAAACTTACCTTTGAAGGGAAAAGTTAGGGGAGGAGTCTTAGAGACTAAGAGTGGACAGAAGAGAAGGAAAGAACGAAGACCAAAGCTAAGGGAATAATACTGTATGTATAATGACATCGTAAAGGACTTGGGCTGGTGCAAAGACCAGAAGGGAAAGGAGCCAACATAAGTCAGCCTGGCCATTGTAAATTTAAAACTGACTACACATGTATCCCCACACTTAATCTTCAAAACTAACCCTGTAGATTAGTAATCTGGGACTCTAATACGGACACTGATTTGCGCAGGTGTACAAATGTTCTGTTTGTCCGTAAACAACTATATACTGAGCTTCCAGGTGGACCCAGCGCTAACAAAGCGCATCACAGTAGCTAGTGTTAGTTGGGGATTCGTACTCAAATAGACGCCCCCAAAAGATCGCACTCGCTTACATCATAGAAAAAATAAAACTCAAAAACTAAAACAACTCCAAGACACAGAAACAGCGCAAAACGTCTCCCTATCCTGAAGCAGCCGGTCTCGGGTGGCGCAATAAACAGACCTCCCGGAAATTAGGTCAGAATGCCTCAGGCCCGAGAGGCAAGGCAGTCATCTCATCAGCCAATCATATATCAGAGCCGCTTCGTTTTTCTTATTCCTATTGAGCTAGGGGAGTGTCAATCAACGTGCACTCTTCGTACGGCGTAATGAGGGCGGGCTTTTAGCCGACAACCAACCAATTCAGCATTGTGTTGGAGCGGAAGAGACTCTGGCCCTGGAGTTCTTGGTTACTCTCTATGGTTGCAGGGCGGAGAAACGCTACGAGATCCGTGGCCCGTAGGAATAGGAAGTGACGTAGGGATGGCGGAGGAGCGCGAGGTTTCAAGATGGCGGTGGCTCAATGGCTGACCGGGAGGCAGAGGTGAAGGCCCCTACGAAGTCACAGAGGCCGAGAATCGTCCCCTCCCCGCTTCTCGCAGTCCCAGGAGTCCAGCAGAAGTGTGAGTGTGCGGGGCTGTTCTCCGCCGCTTCATCTTTCCCGCCCCTTTCCAGGGCCCGCGCGGCTGCCTCGGGGACACCAGGCCCCTCTGCCCTGCTCTTCCTCTCCGCAGTTGGGGTCTCCCGGGTCGCAGACTGGGGGAGGAGGGGGGTCCCCGAGCCGGGGGCGGCGCGGCGTCCAGCGGCTTAGCGTCTGACTTTAGCCGGGTCGGTTAGCCCCGCCTCCTGTCTGTGCACGTTGACCGGTTGCCTTGGTGTTGCTGTCTGTCCCTCGAGTCACGGTCAACCGTCGCTATGGTTTCGGCAGTTACGGCTGCTGTTGCCGCCTCTGGTGGACATGGGCTCCGTCCCGCCGGAACCTCTTTGGCTGTTGAGAGTTCTCCCATGGTTTAGTGGCCCGATTTCCCTATCGCTTCTGCTTTTAGACAAAAAAGTAGTTTGTGCAGACTGAGGCTCCACTGTCTTCTGTAAAAATTCTCTGCAATCCATATCTGTTCTCTGTTATAGTTGTGAGAGGGGAGAATCAAAACATGAGCCTGAGGGTAATTGAGAGAGGAAAGCAAAAACGACACAGGCCATCAAAGATAGAAGAGCTGCTATTTCTACTAATTTTGCTTGTTTCCGCCTCCCTTCTCCACTACTCCATTTTTCCTAGAAGGGAACCTTCGACAGGGTAAATTAGTTGCCACGGGAACAGCTTTGAAGCATTTAGCAGAAATCAAGGAAATTGAACAATTGCTGAAAGAGGCATTATCTAATAAATTTGCGTGGCAAAATCTTGTAAAGGGAAAGTATAATTGTATGATCTTTTACCTCATGATCTTCCTTTTCCTACCCTTTAAAAGTGTCTGCTTTGAAAGGGAAGAAAATTTGTCAACCTTTATCATTGCAAAGAGAGTCAAAAGTTCAATCTCATTCATTTGGAATAAGAGGAAGAAATGGTATAATGTCTTAGGTTAATACAAATTTTGACTTACAAAATATTTTCCCTCAAACACAATTATTCCTTTCAGTTACCTTGAAAAATACAAATCAAGAGGCAAGTAGGTACTAGTAAGAAAAATATTTATCTTAATATTGACATTTTTGGAAGGTCTTATATAATATTCGTTTCGAATGTTTGCATTTTTAGTTATGTTTTAAGGTGCTGCTTGAGAGTCAAGAGTCTTGAGAGTCAAGAATTATATGAGAATTAAATCTAAATCTGAATTAAATAGGCTTAAATAATGTTTTTACTGTCTTAGAGGTGTTGGGAAAACATGCTAAGAAAAACCGTGCGGAGAGGCAAGGGTGAGCTGCTTGTCATTGATGGTAGATCATCACCCCACTTCCTTTTTATTCCTGTTTCACTCTACATACAAATAGAGGGAGGATGTGGGAGGAGGACTGCTGGCCTCTCTTGTTCATGGTTTTGTCACATTGTTGAAGCACTTTCTGATGATTTGTTTCAATTGTTGAGTCAATACTGTAATCCATAGAAGAAAATTAAATTGATGACCTAATGATAGTCAGAGTAGTTTTCAGACCCATTACTTTTGTAAATAATAACAAATCTAGGTTTTCATGGTCAGAGAGGTTGAGGCCATCTTTCCTGGACACTAAAGTCAAAACTAGAGAAAGAACAAGGTCTTAATAATGAAATGAATGTTTCTTTTCAAATATTGGTGGGAAGGAATTTTATAAATATAAAAAGGAAGAGGGCCAGCTCCAGTGGCCAAATGGTTACGTTTGGCCTACCCAACTCTGGTGGCATGGATTGTGTTGCTAGGCCTGGACCTATAGCACTTGTCTATTAGTGGCCATGCTGTGGCTGCGGCTCACATATAAGCTAAAGGAACATTGGCAATAGATTTTAGCTCAGGGCGAATCTTCCTCAGCAAAAAAAAATAAATTTTGTAAATTTAGGGAAAATAAGCTATTACGTTGTTTTCACAGGTTTTTATTTTTAACGAACAAGTAAACCATACAGATTGTCAACATGGGACGGAGATCTACATCATCCACCAAGAGTGGAAAATTTATGAACCCCACAGACCAAGCCCGTAAGTGTCTGTTAATGTGGAATGGTGGAGAAAGAGGAGTGGTAAAAATTGCATACCTTAAGGAGTCTGTTTCATTATGTCTTAATTACAAGATCAGCAATGCTAGGAGGAGTCAGTTGCATAAAGTTATCTGGTGTTCTTGTGGGCACATGATTAAAACTTTAAAATGTAAAAAAGATTAGTACCCGTATTTCTAAGTTGATTGACTTGGCTTAAAGCTTTTTGTATTTGGAATTGTGAACATATTGTTTTGCGAGCTCTTGTTTAATATTTTATGGCACCCTTTTCCTTCAGATTCGTAGTTATTTTTTAAGAAACTTAAAAATGTCTTGAGCATTTCTAGTTGATGTAATTAGAAGGATGCTATTGGCATTTAGTGGGTAGAGGCCAGGGATGCTGCTAAACATCCTACAGTGCACACAGGGAGGCCTTGCACAGTAAAGAATTATCTGTATTAAATTGTAGAAAATGTTAATGTTTAAGATTTGAAAGTTTTCTATTCTCTCTTTCCCTGTCTTCAGGAAAAGAAGCCCGGAAGAGAGAATTAAAGAAGGTATGATTTCAGAAGCATCCTATTAGATCAGAGTGTAGTTTGGCACATCTTATTAGTTGAGATTAGTGGATTTCAAAATAACATTTCCAGTTATTTGCCAGAGAAGATACTTATGCTTCTTAGAACACACCATAAAATTTACTAAGCCAAAATACTATACTTGGAAACTGAACTGAAAGAACTTTGCAGATAAGCTCATGATGGGTTATTATAACATTGTTTATTTGATTACCTTTCCCGGTAAGTTAAATACTTTTGAAAATAATTTTTTTTGCTATTTATTATACTGCTTTGTTAAATGCTACTGAATTAGTGAGTGGAAGTAAATGTGATGCTAAATAGCTTTGTATGTCCATTTTCCTCGTTGTGTAGCTGTTGAGTTTGTGGCAGAGAGCTTCCCCAGGAAAAGAAAGGATTTACTTTTTGGTGTCATGCCGTAGCACTTTGAGAAAACTTAATTTTTTAATAGTTTTCAGTTGTGTGGTGTTGTTTCATTATTTAGCATTAAATCCTATAAAACTTTAATATATAATTTTAGACTTTACCTGCAACTTTGTTAATAAAAAAACTTAAAATATTTTTTTAAGTGCTAAAGATGTCACAAGGTTAAAAGAAATACTTGCCTAAGAAAACACTTTTAATAAAGATATTTATCTTTTTGTCTAAAGTTGAAACTTTTTTTTTTTTTTTAGATTTTTTTTTTATTTTTTCCTTTTTCTCCCCAAAGCCCCCTGGTACATAGTTGTATATTCTTTGTTGTGGGTCCTTCTAGTTGTGGCATGTGGGACGCTGCCTCAGCGTGGTTTGATGAGCAGTGTCATGTCCGTGCCCAGGATTCGAACCAACGAAACACTGGGCCGCCTGCAGCGGAGCGTGCGAACTTAACCGCTCGGCCACGGGGCCAGCCCCCTAAAGTTGAAACATTTTTGAGAGCGAAAAATTACATAGGTCTGTTTCTGGTGGTTGAAACAAGTGATCAGAAACCAAGGAGAAGTTCAACTACAGTTTAAATTTTTGAAGCTAATTGAAATGGAAACTCACGAATGTTCAGCTTCTTGAAATGCTGCTCTTTATTTTTCTAAGAACAAAAAACAGCGCATGATGGTACGAGCTGCAGTTTTAAAGATGAAGGATCCCAAACAGATTATCCGGGACATGGAGAAATTGGATGAAATGGGTAAGAATGTATAAAAAGGTTGGATTTTACAGCAGGGATAACAGTCTGATACACAGAGGGAGGCAAGCAAATAATGAGTGAAGCAGCACAGACGGAAGAAACACGGAAAAGCGTGATGGCATTGTGATGCTTGGATTTAGTTTTAGTGTCAGGAAGACAGAGGGGGCAGCGACTATTGGAAACTGGAGATCTCATCTAGAATAAGGGGAAAGCCGTTCTTTAGCTTGAGCTAATTGCAGTTATAAGGTAATGATAGCCAAATATGGCCAGCGCATTTTTCGAGAGAAGAGTGAAATCTGGTCTTTGAAGTCACCTTGGAGTTGTTTGTCTTGTTTTGTTTTTTAATATTGGCAACTAAATATTAAGCCACTAAGAATATAAGTCAGTTTCCCATTTTTTTCCAATGAGAAGATCCAAAGACGATTGACCACTTAGTAAGGATATAGAAGAAATCAAATACCTTAAAACCAGATTTTGTAAAATACCGTATTAGGATTTTCCTCTGTTTTTCACATGTTAATAGAATAGTTTTGTCTCTTTATGTGCATCTGCAACGTCACTGCTTTGTCATAGCTGCAATCACGTGAGATAACTGCATGTTATCCTTCCTTGCATCTAAGTTGCTTGAGAATCATCTGTGTGATGCTGTCCCTGGAAATTTTATCCCAACCCACAAACATCCATTCTCTTAACATTAGGATATGAGATTTTTAGTTTTCTGCTTTTTTAGTGGAAGCTTTCAAACATGCAAAAATAAAATAGTTAACTCCTCTGTGCTTTTCAGCTGTCAAGTTTTTGCCAAATCTGTCTTCTGCTCCCTGGCACATTTTTTTTAAATTGTATATTAAAGTTATCTTTACAAATTTTGTTTAGAAAAGTACCCACACAGGTTCATTGGTTTGCCCAAAAACAGAGACAGTAAGTGAAAGAAATACAGTGGATCTCCTCAGTGATTCATTAATGGGGTT